AGTGGGGCCACTGAGCTGCACACACACACACCGCCCTGCTGTCCCCACAGCTCGGCGACCTCCGAGGGACCGGGCACACACCTCGGGGCTATGGACCCCAGCTCGGGGCTCGGACGTGCCCGGGGGGCGCAGACATCCGGAGATGCGCACGGTGCTGTGTGCCACCGCCGCGCTGCGCCCTCGGGGGCAAAGCGGGATGCCACCGCACCGAGCCACCTGGGGACAGGCAGCGTCCCCACTGCGGTCCCCAAGGAGCTCCCCCGCGGGCACTGTTGCCGGAAGGTGGCCGTGCAGCGCGTGTCCCCCCCCCCCCGGGGCTCCACGTTTCCCTAAATATTTCGGTTCCCTCTCCCTCTCTCCGTGCGCACACCCATTGTGCCGCAGCCGGGGCTCTGCTCTGCTCGCCGGACCCCCGCTGCTCCATCCCAACCCGCAGTTGGTTGCAGTTAATTCCACCCCCCCCCACCCCGCCCCCCCATCCCCGGGGCGGCTTTTAGGAAATAATTCTGGCAAATCCCACTGTTGCGTTTGGATGGAGCCCGCGTACGCGTCAGAGACAGGGAGCGAGATGGCAAACAAAGGAAAAGAGGGAGAGGAGGGGAAAAGCGCACAGCGAGGAGGGAGGAAGGGGACGGCGGGGAGGGGGGGGCCGGGGGGAGCCCTGGGGGGGGGCTTGGGGAGTCCCATTGCATGGAAAAGGCCCGGACGGGAGCAGCGCACCGGGAGCCCTCACCTCGGGGTCAGCGCGCTCCGGGAAACTGGAAACTGCGGCGGGGGGGGCACATTCCTGGCCAGCTCTGTGCCCCCCCCCCCACCTCGTTCCCTCCTCCCGGGTACTGCAGGGCTGGAGCGGGCCGGGGGCTGCTCCCCGTTACGGGATGGGATGGATGGGATGGAGCGCGCGGGGTTCGGCCGCTCCGAGGGAACCCCCGCGGGCAGCAGGGAGAGATGTGGGGAGGGAGAAAAGCAAACGGGGTGGGCAGGGGGAGGGCAGCGAAAGCCCGGCGAGCAGCGGGAAAGGAAAAAGGGTAAAAAATAATTAATTAATTAAAAGAAAAAAAAAGAAAAAAAAAAAGAAAAAAGGGAGAGAAAAGGAAAGAGAAAAGGAGAAAAAAAAAAAAAAAGAAAGAAAGAAAGAAAAGAGAATCGCCGCAGCCCCGAGAAATAACTTTGCACAACTTCGCGCCGCCTCTCACCCCGCGGCCGAACCCCCCCGCAGCGCAGCCCCGGCCCCGGGCAGCCCCCGCCGCCCAACCCCGGCCCGAACGATCCCACCGCCCCCGCGCCCACCGCCCGTCCACGCCGCGCGTGGGTACCGCCGGAATGGGGGGAGCGCAGAGCCCCGCGGGGATGCGGCGGGGGGCAGCGGGCAGCCCGGGGGCGTGACACGGGTGGGCGCCGGGACGCGGGCGGGATCGGGACACGCGTGGGTCACGGGACGCGCCTCCGCCGCGGGACGTCGCGGTGAGTTGCGCGCGGCGGAAAGTTTGCGGGCTGCAGGGGCGGCCCGGTCCCCGCTCCCGGCGGCGACAGTCGCGATAGTCGCGACGGCGCTCCCCGCCTCCTCCCTCCTCCCCACGCTTACCTCTGCGGGGGCTCAGCGCCGCGCCGGGCACCCGCGGCCCCCCGCCATGTCGCGGCCGCAACTACCGCCGCGTCCCCGGCCCATGGAGCGGCGGTGCGGGGCGGGGCGGGGCGGCGCGGGCGGGGCTCGAACCCGCGGCGGGGCGGGCCGGGGGCTGCGGCGGCGGCCCGGCTCCGAGTGGGCGCCGCAGCCCGTGCGCTCGCCATGGGGCTCCGCGGCCTCATTTGCATAGCCCCGCCCCTCCCCCGCCCCTCCCGCCCGCTGGGCCGCGGGTTCGAGCCCCGCCCCGCTCACCTCCGCTCCTGCCTTTTGTTGAGCCGCGCCGCGAGGGGACGACGCGGGGGGTGGGGGTGGGGGGGGAGGTCGATCGGCGGGCCCCGAAGGCGCGGCCCGGTCCTGGGGCTACGGAGCCGAGCGGGCGGTGGGACGCCTTTGTGTGGCGGTACCGGGGTGCCCGGGCGCAGCGGGAGAGGCGCCGGGGCGGCGGCGGCGGGCGGGGGCGGCTCCGGCGCGGGGAGAAACCGGCCGCCACAAAGAGCACAGAGCCCCCCAGCAGCGCTCCCGCAGCCCCGCGCCGCTCCCCGCACGCCCTGCCCTCGGCTCTCCCCAGCGTGCGTGCGGCGCTGCGTGTCCCTGCGCTTCGCATCAGCAGCGCAAATAATGCCCGAAACCCGACCCGGGGAGCTCCCGGCTCTGCAGGAATGTCGGAAAAGAGGCGGTGGTTCCCCCCCCCCCCCCCCCCCCCCCCCCCCCCCCCCCCCCCCTCCCCGCGCCCCTTTCCCCGGGCCCGGACTAAGCACAAAGCCTTCCCCGCGTTCCCCGGCTCCATTTCTCTCCTTGCAGGGCCACCGAGCCGTCGCCGACCGTCCCCACGTCCCCTCGGTCACCACTCCGTAGGTGGTGACCCACATTTTGCAGCCAACAAAACTGGGGCAGCCGCTGCCACCGGCTGTGCTCAGCCCCCATCACTGCTAGCAGTGCTGGTGGGCTCCGGACTGGGGGAGCTGAGGGTAGGAAAACCCCTACCAGCGTGAGTCCCCATCCCCAGGGCACGGCTTGGACTCAGCTCCGCACCCTGGTGTGCCATTTAATCCAAGGCACCAGAGCTGCTCTTCCCTTTTCTTCCTCCCCTGTGTAACCCAGAACTGCCTGACTGCTCGCCCAGGCAGCAGGATCTGTCCTGTGTAGCACAGGGAATGCAATTTGTGTGGGCTGTATGCCCCAAGTTGAGCAGGGGAGACTCAGCAGGCTCCTGAGGTGCCCCAGTAGGGTGCCCCTGTAGGGAGCAGGGTGCAGGGATGGGGATGCAGGGGTGGGTGTAGTGATGGGGATGGAGAGATGCAGAGATGGATGCGTGGACAGGGATGAAAGGATAGGTGGAGAGACGGGGGTGCAGGGGTAGATGCAGGGGTTGGTGCAGGGATGGATGCAGGGGGCCAGGAGCAAGGCACAGCCATGCAGAGCAGGAGGGAAGAGGTAAAAATCATAGGGTAAAGGCAGGATGGAACCCTGGGATGGTTCCCCGATGGAACCCCACGCATGTTCGGGATAGCTGAGCCTTTGCCCCTCCAGCCAGATACTTGCTCAAATGGGACTTTATTATTGTAAGCGCCTGGAGGTAACTCTGGCCAAGTTTCTGCCTGGGGACAAGCCAGAGCCAAACTGTGCTACTGGGGCACCCTCTGCATAGCAAGGGGCTGGGGACCCATCCCTGCCATCACCCAGGGATGGGCAATGTCCCTGTTGTGCCCCACCCTTCACTCCTCATGCTGAGACCCCCGAGCCCTGTGGCAGTGCCGGGAGGCCGGTGGCTGCCGTGATGGATGGCCAGGGCTTGCCAAGCACGGCGTGTTTGGCCGACGCCGTGTTTGTCTTGGCAGGGGCAGGGATGTCATCTCCTCCACTCACAGGCTGACGAGCTGGGAAAGGCAGCAGGGGGCTGCCCGTGGGGCTGCCCTGATGGAGAGCAGCCCTGCATGTCCCACAGGGCCGCCTCAGGGCAGGGGCTGAGCGCAGGCTTGGTGTCACCTGCAGGAGGTGAAGGTTTTTAGGATAACCTCCCTGTTTTCTGGGGCCACCAAGGGCTCTCAGAAGGCGGCCAGACAGCAGAGATGAGGAGCTGCGAGATGCTGATGTGCCATGTAAGTGGGTCAGTGGCACAGCTGTGGGCATCAGTGGGCGCCAAAGGAGCTGGGGAGGACACGCAAGTGGCAGCAGGAATGGCTCAAGGGCTGCAAGAAACTGGGACATCTCTGTGCACGTGGGTCTGCAAAGGGAAGTTCTGCTGAGAGCTGGTTTGGGGCACGGGGTGAGATTAGGAGCAGTGCAGGAGCTGCCCTGGTGCTCGGTATGCATGCTGCCACGGATGCTGCCTGCTGCTGCCACCATGACCCCTTTGTGCCCACCTGTGGGATGTTCCTGGCATCACAAGGCTCCTTGTTGCTGAGTTTTGGCATGGGACCGAGGGGTTTCTCCCAGGACTTCTCCCCAGGACACCTCGAGGGATGCTGGTTGCTGTGCCCCAGAAGGATGCTTCATCCCTCTGCAGGACAGTGAGGACGTACAGGCTCGGTGCAGACCCCCTGGCTGGGGTGGGAAGGTGGAGCTGGGGGCTGTTTGAGCCCCCTCCCCACCCCCTGGCTCCCTGCTGCCCACGCCCTCCCCTCTCCCCATCCGTTTCCCACCACAAAAATCCTGCAGAAGTGATGCTCCGCTCTGCAAAGCGGGTCGCCGTGGCAACCAACACAGGGGTACAGGACCCTGTCCCCATCAGGCATGGACCCCACATCCCACAGCCCCCTGGGCTCTGTCCGAGGGGTGGGAGCCTTGCCCTTCCCCTGACCCTGCCCAGGTTCAGAGCCACCCATGGCTTGGAGCTCTGCACCAGCCAGGGCAGGGAGGATGCTTTGAAAGCCCCCAGCCCCCCTGCCAACCTCCGCAGGGTAATTTCCATTTTCAAACCCCATTAAAAAGGAGCCTTTTTCCTCTTTGTTTCTCTTCTCCCTCTGTTCTTCCCCCCACCCTTTAGCTCTTTGTCAGCCAAAAATACGCAACCCACCAGGGAAGGCGAGCTGGGACCCACTGTGCTGCAGCCTCTCTGCATCCCCCCTGGTGCCAAGGGTGTGTGTGGGGATGGGACAGGGCTCGAGCTGCCCTGTTGGCTTGGGCAGAGGGTAAATGCCTGCAAGCACAAGAACAAACCGGATTTGGAGCAACGGGAGTGGGATGGG